AGGGGAGAAGCCTGCAACTGAGATACGTGCTCTTGACTGGAATTGAACCCAGGACCCTTCAGTCTGCAGGCTGACACTCTATCCACTGAGCCAAACCTGCTAGGGCTACATTTCTTTTTTAAAATATGTCTTTATTGATATCAGAGAGAGGAAGGGAGATGGAAAGAGAGAGAGAAACATCGATGATGAGAGAGAAACATTGCCCCCTACTGGGGATCAAGTCCACAACCTGGCAATGTGCCCTGACCTAGAATCAAACCAGCACCTCTCAGTGCATGGGACTATGCTCAAGCAATTGAGCCACACAGGCCTGGCAGTGCTGGAACTTAAATAGTTTTGCTTCAGACCTTTTGATTCATTCTTTTTCAACTTGCATTAATAAGATAATATTATTGTCTTATATAGCATTAACTTAAACTTGCATAGATATTTATCCTTTTAATTGCTATTTATTCCTTCCTTCATCTTCAGTCTTCCATCTGTAATCATTTTCCAGTTTCCCGGTATCATTTAGTATTACTTTTGGTTCATGCCTGCGGCTGGCAAACTCTGTGTTTCTATTTATTTGTAAAGGTCTTTATTTCACCTTTATTTTTGAGGGGTGTTTTTGCTGGTTATCAATTTCTTGGCATTTATTTTCTTTCAGGACACTAAAGATATTCCACCAACCTCATGCTTCCATTGTTGCTGTCAAGAAGCCAGAAATCAGCCCAACTTTTGTTCTTTTCAAGGCATACTCTTATTTTTTCTGGCTACTTTTGTCATTTGTCTTTTTGATTCTATGCAAGTTCAGTTTTATACATCTATGCATGAGTTTCTTTTTAATTATTCTGTTTGGGGTATGTTGGACTTCTTGGATCTATGGATCAATATCTTTCATCAGTTCTGAAAAATCCTCAGCCATTATATCTTCAAACATTGCCTCTGAACACTTCAATTTCTCTTTTCCTTTCAGAACTCTAATTAAACATATGTTAGACCTTCGGTGGTGAATACACATTATAATATACAGATGATGTATTATAGAATTGTACACCTGGAACCTGTATATTTTTTTTAACCAATGTCACTCCAATAAATTCAATAAAACAAAGCATGTTAGACCTTATTATACCCTCCCATATGTATTTTACATCTTTTTTTACTACCTGTTCAGCCTTATAGATGGTTTCTTCTGAATATAATTTCAAGTCCTTTAATTCTTTCTTTTTTTTGTTAATCCTCACCTGAGGATATTTTTCTCATTGATATTTTAGAGAGAGTGGGAGGGTGGGGGGGAGAGAGAGAGAGAGAGAGAGGGAGAGAGAGAGAGAGAGAGAGAGAGAAGAGAGAGAGAAACTGATGTGAGAGAGACACATCAACTGAATGCCTCCTGCACATGCCGCAATGGGTTGGGGATGGAAGAACCTGCAACCCATGTACATGCCCTTGACCAGGAATCAAAGTGCTTTGGTGCAGCAGTCTGGACTCTAACTACTGAGAAACACCAGCAAGAGCTAATTCTTTCTTGAGCTGTATTTATTTGGCTGTTAAGGCCATCCATTGAGATTCTAATTTCAGCTAAGTTATTTTTTAGTTTTAGAATTTCCTCTTTTTTTTTTTTGCTTCTAGTTATCTGTTGAAATTTCAAGATTGGATTTTATCTTAATACACTAAGTATTTTTGTTGTCTTTATTTATTTTCATTAAATTTATTGGGTTAACATTGGTTGATAGGGTCAGATGTGGATTTCTATGTTATGAGACTGTGTATTGCACTGAGCTTTGTGGTTTAATAGTCTGTATCCAATAATTCAAACCTAATGGATCTGTTTGTTACCTGTTATCTCTACTGCTTCTCACCTAATTATGTCTTTTTTCTTTGTGTTTCTGGTTATTTTTGGGTGTCAGCATTGTACATGAACATTTGTTTATTGAAATAACTTGAGAAATAAGTTAACAGTATTTTACTCCAGAGAAGATTTTGTTTGCTAGTCCAGTAAGGGTGATTCCTGTATGGAACCACCATAATCTATGTTCAGAGGCCACCTACATGTTGCAAAACCAAGCTTAATGACTTTCTGAGGGCTAGTTTATTTCCAGTTTGTAATTACCCTTAACCTAAAACATTTTGGTTCCCAGCATTATATGAGTGACAGTTTGTTAGGAAACTTCTCCTCTTTCAGTGGGCCTTTGGTGTTGATTTTTTTAAAAATATATTTTATTGATTTTTTTTACAGAGAGGAAGGGAGAGGGATAGTTAGAAACATCCATGAGAGAGAAACATCCATCAGCTGCCTCCTGCACACCCTCTACTGGGGATGTGCCCGCAACCAAGGTACTTGCCCTTGACCAGAATCGAACCTGGGACTCTTCAGTCCACAGGCCAACGTTCTAGCCACTAAGCCAAACTGGTCAGGGCTTGGTGTTGATTTTTGTTACTCTAGTACCTTGAGTCAGCTTTCGATTCAACTCAGTTTGGTGCTGGTTTACTCCTTAACCTTTATTCATTAACAGATACCCTCAAGACAAATAAAAGAAAATATGGGTAAATTCCTCTTTGACCTCATGTAGAAAAAGTTCTTAAGTATGAATCAAAATCTAGATGCAAAGAAGTGTGATAAATTTGACTACATATTAAAATGTATGGCAGACAATAGAAACATGAAAAATGCTCAAAGTCACTAATCATCAAATAAATGCAAATTAAAACTACAATGAGGTATCATCTTACACCTGCCAGAATGGCTACCATCAATAAATCAAAAAACAAAAGTGCTGTCAAGGATGTGGAGAAAAGGGAACACTAGTACACTGCTGGTGGGAATGCAGACATCAGCCATTATGGAAAACAGTATGGCGGTTCCTTAAAAATTAAAAATATATAGATCCGCTGTTTCACCCAGCCATCCCACTTCTGGGAATATATCCTAAGAATCCTGAAACACCAATTAGAAAGAATATATCCACCCCTATGTTTATAGCAGCATTATTTACAATAGGTGAGATCTGGAAACAGCCCAAGTGCCCATCAGTAGATGAGTATATACTAGTAAAACAGCTGTGGTACATTTACACAATGGAATATTATGCAGCTGTAAAATCGAAGGATCTCTTACTCTTTGAGACAGTATGGATGGACCTGAAATAAGCCAGTTAGCCTTATTTAATGTATAAAGAACACTTGAAAATGAGGAGAGAAAGAACAACCACCCAATAGCAATATGTGGAAAGACATGTACATACAATTTACAATGATATCAAAATAAAATGCAATTGAGAGACTTCTCACCTATCATTTTAGTGGAAATTAAGTGTCACACATGGTAGAAAGGGTGTGGGGAAACACACACTCCTGTATTGCTGGTGGGAAAGCAAAAAATGGATCTGAGCCTCAGGGGAGGGACTAGCCTGGAGATGTAATTAAATTGGGAATCTTCTGTGCTTGGAGGAAAATGAACAGAGGTAACTCGGGGAGAGAACATGTGGACTGAGAAGAGAGGAGGCCCAGAAACACCTTACTTAAAGTGGCAGCACAACTTTCTGGCGGGCACCACCACCAGACTCCAGTCAGGCACAGCTGGTCTTGAAAGCGGCTGTGGGGCTGAGCTGCTGAGCACTCTTAGTGATGTAGGGTACCCTCCCTGTGATTAGCTGTCACACCTGGAGATAATGGGTATCTCACAGGGATGGTGGGCGAGGACCTGAGATGCACCAGGTAAAGAACCTGCGGGCAGAAAGCTGCCTCCTCCTGCTGTCAAGGATGTGGAGAAAAGTTTCAGTGAGTACCCCCATGGCCATCACCCGCCTCCCTCCCCCCACCCACTACCACCTCCGGTCTGCAGCAGCCAGGTCTCCCAGGATTTGGGTGAGGGGGGGTTCTAGTTGGGGGTGATGCGACGATCACGTGATCCACCGAGTGCCCACGTGGTCAGCAGCACCCGCCCCCAGACAAATCCCAGTGCCGTCCGCTCCCCTTGCCCGTGGGGTGCCACCTCCCTGAGATGCCCTGGCAGCAGGCGAGGGGCGAGTGGGCTTCCATGAGCCTGAGGAGGCGCAGGCCTGGCCCGGGCCCGCAGGTGAGTGTGCCAGTGGGCCTTGCCAGCGGCCTCGGTTGGGGTGAAGGTGGATGCGAGGATGGAGAACAGCGGTGGGGTGGAGAAGCTAAAGGATCGCGGAGATGGGGGAGGAGGTGGACCCAGCGCTGGCGCTGGCGTGGGCAGGTGAGAAAAGAAGACCCCATCACAGGCCCCGCCACCTCCTCAACGCCCCACCTCTGAGCCTTCCATCCATTTTCGAGCCCAATATGGGAGGGGGCGCGTACCGCAGTGCGACAGTGAAACGTAGGCATATTCTGGAAATAACTCCCCCCCCACACACACCTCACACTGGGCCTGTGAGGAAATATTGACCACGAAAAAGGGGTGAGGGTGGGGTGGGTTAACTGCAGGGGAGGGGTACACAGATGCACAAGCAGTTTGGAAAGCTTCCTGATCTGGTGCCCCAGGCCTGAAAAGCGATATGGCCACTTGGGTGCGGGGCAGGTAGGGGAGGGCAACGTTGGATGTGGAGCGCCCGGATTCAGGAAAGGAACACCAGTCCACTGAGCGCACAGCCACTGCCCGGGTTTCTTGTCTGTCTGCAGGTCTGTGTGTCTGACCCCAGCACTCTGCTAGACACAGAAAGGAAAAACCTGTCCAGAATCCCTGCAGGTCAGTGAAGTGGGGGTGGGGCACTGAGGTGGGGTGTGTGAGTGTGGAGGACACAGCTTGGGCAAAATCTGAGGGCTCACCTCCACATATAATATAAACACACCCCATCAGACTGAAGGATGGTACAGAAGATACCAGGGCTTGCCAGAGAAATGGTTGGCTCTCGTGTGTACAGTGGGGAAAAGTGTGGCAGAAGGCTAGCTCAGGGGAACCCTGGCCATGGGCCAGATGCCAGTACTATCTGAGCCAGTCCTCACTCTTCCTTGTCTTCTCTTTCTCTCCTCCTCTCCCACCCCACCCCACTCCCTAGTACAGGAAAGGGAGGGAACATCTCAATATGGAAAAACTCTATAATGAAAATGAAGAAAAGCTGGAAATCAAGGGAAAGCCAGAAGATGAAGTAGATACAGATGAAGGAAAGTCAGACGGGAAAGAAAACCCAGAAGTGGAGGGGAAGCCAGAGCACGAGGAAAAGCTCCAAGACCAAGGACAGCTAGATGACGCGGGGAAACAAGAAAAGCAGAGCAAGTCCCAAGGTGAGGGGAAAGCATGCAGTGAGGGCAAGGCAGAACCCCAGGCCAAGCCAGAGAGCCAGCTGCGAGCTGCCGAAAAACGCCCGGTTGAAGAGTATGTGCCCCGGAAAGCTAAGCAAAAAACGGACAGGTGGACGGATGATTCCCTCAAGGACTATCAGGAGGACTTACAGAAAAGGCATTTGGGCATTGAGGAGAGGATGAGAGAATGTGGAGATGTGTCAAGGGCTCAGGAAGAGCTAAGGAAAAGACAGAAAACGGGTGGTTTTCATTGGATGCAAAGAGATATACAGGATCCATTCTTCCCAAGGGGCCAATGGGGTGTCAGGGGAATGAGGGGTGGAGGTAGGAGCCAAAGGGGTGTACATAATATCCCATATCTTTAAAGCCCTTGGACTTCAATTCTGATTTCTCTGATGAGAATATTCCAACCCTGCTTTCCCTTGGGCAGGGAGGGGGGAGGGTATTTTCCAGGCAATGTGCTTTAACCTTAAGCTGATACTTTGCTGTAGGTGTCTGCCATTCTTGTTACCAGCCACCTTTTGGTCCAACTATACAGTGCTCTCTGTTTCAGTACTGGATTTTCATTCATGTGCATGGAAGAGAAGGTCATGGTACTTTGTAAAACAATAAAACTGTTTTTAGAACCAAATCTACAGTGCCAGCCCAATTTTGTAAAAATGTGAATATGTTTGCATAATGCATTTATGCACAGAGAAGACTCTGAAAATGTATACACTAAAAAGCAGGTGGTGGTTTTTCCTTCATGGTAGCCAAAAAGAGGTCTTGCCTATACTCAAAAATAAGTCCAGTCACCTGATGGTTAGGTACCTCCATGCCATTCCTCTGTGGACATGACCATCCCTATGTCATCCCCTAGTTGTAACAATGTCAGTGGGCACTGATGTCCTATATCCTGGGTCCTCTACTGCTCTATGACTCCATCTGTGATTCTTTTTCTTTGCTTTGCTCACTAATCTCCACTTTTTCCTAAAGGATATGGATTATGTTTGTCATAATAAAAAAAAATCTGAAAAAGAAAACAAAATGAGGAAATCAATACATGATAAACCATCGAAATGTTCAGTGAATTTATGAGGGCAATGAAAATGCTTAAAATTCTTGTCAGAATGTAAAATGATAAGTAAAACACATTATCTCTAGGGTTCATAGCTAGAGGAATCAATCTGGTGGTTTTAACAACTGCTGAGCGGATCAAATGAGGTACTATGTGAGCTGTGTTGGGCTGGCTCCTTTGCAGTAGAAGTAACCTGTATCCTGTCAGACACTTAGGGGAGAGTTGACCTGTGCCCAGGAACAAATCCAAGTAGCTGAGAAGAGGTACCATCCTTCTCTGGATATTACCATATACCCTCTGCTGACAGCTATTGATATGATGGAGTCCTCATGGTGACACAGGTCCTCTGATTCCCTATAGTCTTCAAAGGGCCAAAACCCCTATTTGACTCCTACAGGAGTGTGGATAAAGCCCATGCCCCAATTTCAGAGTTATACCTACTCAGGTGATACTGCCCAGGGGCTGCTTGGGCCCCACTGTATTACATAGTTCATAGCAAATTAGTCATTACTATTTTTAGTTCTTTATATATTTGTTTATAATATCCTTTCTCTTCATAAGACTTAGATATTTTGGGTCCACTGGGGGCTGTGTCCTGAGAGTAATGTATGGACCAGGCAATGGATGGTGATTTGAACTAAACACCACACTGCAGTACCCCAGGGAAACCATATCTAAATTTACATGCCTTTCTTAGTGTGCTTGCTTTCTAAAATGTCTTCTGGTTTGCTTGCTATACAAAATCAAGAGACTTGTCCACACAGAACTGAGGGTTAAACAACTGAGTCCCAAGCTGAAAATATCCCTTTCCATTCCAAACCAATTCCAACTGAAAAGGGTAATAGTGCTCTTGAAAATATTAAAAACTCTCAATGTGAGACATTTTTATTTAACCAACCAGTATATTCCTTTCTCAAAATAGACTTTTTAAAAAAATATATTTTATTGATTTTTTACAGAGAGGAAGGGACAGGGATAGAGAGTTTAGAAACATCGATCAGCTGCCTCCTGCACACCCCCAACTGGGGATTTGCCTGCAACCAAGGTACATGCCCTTGACCGGAATCGAACCTGGGACCTTTCAGTCCGCAGGCCGACGCTCTATCCACTGAGCCAAACCAGTTAGGGCAAAATAGACTTTTCTTATTCATTCTGATATTCCTTACAGTGTAGTTGACACATTTACTTAATAAATTATGATTGAATCAGGAGTCCTGAGTTTAAAGAGATATACCGCTATGGACTAAAGGCTGAATAGTGTTAATATGATAATTCTCTCCAAAACTGATCTATAAATTCAATACCATCCCAATAGAAATCGCAGCAAAACAGGATTCTAAAAGTTATAAGGAAAAACAAAGGACATAGGATAACCAAAATATTTTGAATATGAAGAACAAAGTTAGAGGATTCATTGACTGATTTCAAGACTATAAAGCTACAGTAATCAAAACTATGTAGTATTGGCATAGGCTAGACATATAGATCAGTGGACTAAAACAGTTCAGAAAAAGGCACATAGGTATATACTCAATTCATTTTTTAAAAGGTCCCAAAGTAATTCAGGAAACGATAGATTTTTCAACAAGTGATGCTAGAACAATTGGATATTGTCTTAATTCAGGCTGCTATAACAAAAATACCACCAACTGCGTGGCTAAAACAACAAACACTTATTTCTCACAGTTCTGGAGTCTGGGAAGTCCAAGATTAAGGTGCCAGCATTTTGGTGTCTGGTGAGGGCCTGATACCTGGTTCATTAACAGATGTTTTCACATGGCAGAAGGGGCAAGGGAGCTCTCTGGTATCTCTTTTATAATGTGATTAACTCCATTCATTCAGTAGGGGGATCTTGGGATCTAAAGGCTACCAGTCCATATTCCCTTCTACATAGCCCATACTTATTCAGATAGTGAAGGTACCCGCTGAGGGCATCCATTATAGAGGAAACTGAATAACTGGGAGAAAAAAAATGACCATCTCTGTAGATATCATTCAGCCTTTCCTCACAGCAATCCCAGTGTGCTCAATGAGCCCATGTGCAAAGTGGACATGGAAGGAGGAATAGAGCTATGCAAAAGCTCAACAATATTGACTCCCCTTACCAACCTTATCTAACTACTGTCACAGCTGAGTACAGAACCAATGCTGAGCCCCTAACATGGCACCATTTCTAGGGGGTACCAGTCATCAATTTGGAAAAAATGATTACAGGAGACCTCTTCCACATCAGAGAGACTACTTTGTCTTTAAATGGAAATAATCATGCTTTTTAAGATAGCAGTTTTATTGAGATACTAGAGGCCTGATGCACGAATTTCGTGTATCGGGCCTCTAGTTTTAGAATATCTTCATCATGCCCCAAAGAAACACTGTACATTAGCAAACACTAAATATTCCCCTCCCCCACTATTTTCCCCCAACCCAGTTACTGGCAACCACTAATCTACATTCTGTATCTATGGATTTGGCTATTGTGGACATTTTCTACAAATGGAATAAAAATATGTGGTCTTTTGTGACTAACTTCTTTCACTCAACATAATGTTTTGAACGTTCACCCATGCTGCAGCATGTATCAGTGCTCCATCCCTTTTTACTGCCTAATAATACTCCATTAAATGGTATACCACATTCATTATCTGTTCATCAGTTGATGAACATTTGGGCTGTTTTAATTTTTAGCTATTATGAATAATGCTGCTTTAAACATCTGTGAAAAAGTTATTGTTTGAACACATGTTTCAATTATTTGGAGTATGTGTACCTATGAATATAATTAATGGGTTATGTGGTAACTAGGTTTAAAATTTTGAAGAATTGCTAAATGTTTTTATTTTTATTTTGTTAATCCTCACCCAAGGATATTTTTTCCATTTTTTAAATTTAATTTTTTAATATATATTTTTATTGATTTTAGAGAGGAAGGGAGAGGGAAAGAGAGGTAGAAACATCAATAATGAGAGAGAATCATCAATCTTCTGCTTCCTACATACCTCCTACTGGGGATCAAGCCCGCAACCCAGGCATGTGCCCTCAACTGGAATCGAACCCTGGACCTTTCAGTCCTCAGGCTGATGTTTTATCCACTGAACCAAACCAGCTAGGGCAAATTTAATTCTATTTTTTAAAAAAATATTTTAAATATTGATTTCACAGAGGAAGTGGGAGGGAGAGAGAGACAGAAACATCAATGATGATAGAGAATGATTGATTGGCTGCCTCCTGCATGCCCCCTACTGGGGATTGAGCCCTCAACCCGGGAATGTGCCTTGATTGGGAATCGAACTATGACCTCTTGGTTCATAGGTCGATGCTCAACCACTGAGCCACGCCACTCGGGCTCCATTGAATTTTTAGAGAGAGTGGAAGGTAGGGAGGCAGGGGGAGAGAGAGAGAAACATCGATGTGAGAGAGACTCATTGATTGCCTCTTGCACGTGTCCTGGCTTGGGCCAGGGATCGAACCTACAACCCTTTGGTTTGTGGGCCGACAATCTAACCACTAAACCACACCAGAGTGCTAAATGTTTTTAAAAGGGGCTGTACCATTTCACATTCTCACCAACAATGTATGAGGTTCCAATTACTTAATATTCTCACCAGGACTTGTTCTTGTCTGTCTTTTGAAAAATCTATCTTAGTGAATGTGAAGTGATATCTCATTGAGGTGTGATTTGCATTGCCATAATGGGTAATGATATCAAATATATTTTCATGGGTATAGTGCCCATTTGTATATCTTTTTTAGAGAAATATCTATTCAACACATTTGTCCATTTTAGAATTAGGTTATTTGCCTTTTTATTGTTGACTCATAAGAGACCATTATATATTCTGGATACAAGCCCTTATCAGATATATCATTTGCAAATCTTTTCTCTCATTCTGTGGGTTTTCTTTAACTTCCTGGATGGTGTCTTTTGAAGCAGTTTTTTTTTATTAAGTTCATCTGTTTTATCTTCATTGACTATACTTTGGTATCATCCCTACGAAACCATACCCTAACCTATGGTAACCAATATTTACTCCTATGTTTACTTCTTCTAAGTTTTATTTTTAAATATACTTTTATTGATTTCAGAGAAGGGAAAGGGAGAGAGAAATGGAAACATCAATGATGATAGAGAATCATTGATTGGCTGCCTCCTGCATGACCCCACTGGGGATCGAGCCTGCAACTCAGGCATGTGTCCTTGACCAGAATCAAACCTGGGACCTTTCAGTTCACAGGCTGATGCTCCATCCACTGAGTCAAACTAGCTAGGGCTACTTCTAAGAGTTTTATAGGTTTAGCACTTACACTCAGAACTATGATCTGCTTTGAGGTGTTTTTATTTTTAACGTTTTTATTAGTTTTAGAGAGGAAGGGAGAGAGAAACATCGATTGACTGCCTCCCACACACCCCCTATCAGGGATGAGGCCCACAAACCAGGCATGTGCCCTAACTAGAAATCAAACTGGCGATCTCTTGGTGCATGGGCTGACACTTAACCAACTGAGTCACACCAGCCAGAGATCACTTTGAGTTTTTATATCATGAAAAG